CTCTCTCTCTCTCTCTCTCTCTCTCTCTCTCTCTCTCTCTCTCTCTCTCTCTCTCTCTCTCTCTCTCTCTCTCTCTCTCTCTCTCTCGGCCGCGCTTGCCCTCCCACGTTCCCCTCTCTCCCCTACGTGCCAATCAGATGCACGTCTTCGTACGTGCCAATCACATGCACGTCTACGCCACGTCGTCGTTGTTGTTCGCCTTCTCCCTCGTTCTCCTCTGTGTGTGTCGCAAATCTTGGTGTTTCTTCGTCCCTCCGCGCCTCTCTGCCCTCCTGCGTTCTGTCTGTAGGCGTCGATCTCTCTCCCTCTCTCTCCGATCGCACTCCTCCACGGCCTTCTCACTATTTCTCCCCGCCAGCGATCTCTCTCGCTCTCCCTCGCTCCCCTTCGTTGCCACGCAATCTTTCTCGGTCTCCCTGGCCGCGTGACTCTCTCCGTCTCCATATGCACACTCGTCACCCCCATCCCTGCGACCACGCTCTACGGCGGTGATCTCTCTCTTGCTCGCTTTCGTCTCTGCTCGAGCATCCACCATCGTCGCCCTTGTGCAGCCTCATCGCCCCTCGCTCTCCGTTGGCGATCTCGCTCTCGCTCGCTTTCGTCCCTGCTCACACCAGGTGCACTTGCACACTCGCACATCCACCGTCGTCACCCTTGTACGCATCCAATCCGCACGCAAACTCGGACTCGGGCGTCGGCTGGAATTCGCATGTCGGTCACGGCTCGCCTTTGTTTTGCGCGGCAGGCCCTCTCCTGCTTGTCTTACCTATTCTTCCACGCGGACCCTGCTCGCGTCGCTTCGTGCCTCCCCTCGCTGCTTTTGTGCATCACCTCGCACCCATGACGTCGCTTGCGGTCCTGTCCCTCCCGCGTGCGTCCGTCCGCGTCAGTCCTGTCCCTTTCCCTCCCTGGCACACCCGACGACGGGCCCCTTCTACAGTTTCTCGTGGGCCTGCATCAGCGTATGTCGGTGGGACCGCGATATCCTTTAAGGGTATAGGGAAAAGAACATTAAAAAAATATATGTTCGACCGAATACGTTCTGGAGGCGTTCGGCTGAACACCGGAATGCGTTCAGGCGATAGCAAAAGCCCCGAACACGTTTGTGTGCTACACAGGTATTACTGTAGTAAAGATGATGGAGGTGGTGGAGATGGTGAAGATGGTGAAGATGGTGAAGATGGTGAAGATGGTCAAGGTGGTCCAATGATGAAAGATGGTGGAGATGTTGAAGAAACATACAGGAACCCCCCCAAAAAAAACATCACGAACATGATGACCAAAGAGGACACAGATGTTCCACGGGCCATAAAGCCGACGGCGACACTGAGTACCTTTTGCAGACACACACTGAGACCAAATTCCTGCTGTTGGGACCAGTTGGCCGTTTTTCTGAAAGGACAAGGGTGGGAAAGCCCCCCAGAAGGCCTCCAAAAATGGCCCCGAAAGTAGACAAGGGTGCCAACGACTTCCAAAATGGTCACGAAAATGGACTGGTTGCAACGACCCCTAAAAATAACCCCAACAATGGACAAGGGTGACAATGACCCCAAAAATAGCAAGAGTAAAAACGTATGTGATGCCTCCAGCTCATGGCAAGTCCATAAATGATCTGAAGATGCCATCCAAGTTGATCCAACAGACAATATGCCAACAATTACGAGGAGAACAGGAAGACGGTCGGGCACTATGACATTCCTCCGGTGCTATACATGTGTATATATTGCCACATGAGTATGAACTAAAAGAGCGCACTTTGCAAAACAACCGGTAACGGAAAAAAAAAAAAAAAAAAAAAAAACGAGGGGCACACTGAAGCTATTCACTTTTCTCATTCTTCTTTTAACTCCCCCTTCAGCGTGCCTCTCACATACAAGGCTTGCCACGTTGATGCCACATTGATGACGTTAAGCGCGAGCTGCCCTCATCCCTGTGTGCCATAACGGCCCACTTGTAAGCTGTGAGAAAGAAGCAGAGTAAAGGCAGAGGGGACAAACACAGGGGCGAGAGATGGAGAGAAGACGAACAAAGAACGACAAAGTGAAAGTAAGGGAAAGTACGGAGGATAAGAAAAGGCTTAAGAATCAGTTCGTCCTTGACGACAGAGAGGACATGCATTGGAAGGATGAGGTGGACGAACACATGGAAGACCTAGCTGAGCATCCCAGTACAACAATTGCAATGACGGCTGGCATTGAGCATGCCCACCATACACCCCCGACAAATGGCATGTCGATTGCAGGCCAAAATGAAGGAAGAACGCTCACCACCACAAAAGACGATGGATTCAGTATAGTGCCCATGGCCGCAAAATGGACGCATGTGTATACACACACATACATATCGTCATGCAATCAGACTCGTTCTCAACCACACTTATCATGCATGTAAATGGCAATGCATCAAATTGGCGACATGCACCCACTCAAAATTCAGAGATATGGCTTCAGATACGAGTTCACTCTCAATTGGCTATGGCGACTTCAGCGCCCAAACAACTTACTGTTCACATACCCCGCGCACAACGCACTGTATCATACATACGCGCACACACTACACTCTGTCTCTTATACACATCTAGATGTGTATAAGAGACAGGGTCACAGGAGCCCAAATGCAGGCTCATTTCTTCTTTCGAGTGTTGGCTGTCAAGGGGTGGGGGGGAAGCAGGGAATAAGTTGGTTTTTCAGGGGCTAAAGGGTTTTAAACTTTAAACTTCAATAAAGGGGAGTGCCTTAGTCTGGTTTCGTTGTTCTCTTTTCTACCTTCGGTTCTGTTAGGAATTCTGATATGAGCCTCGGCCAAAAGTCTTTTGTTTTGCAATTATACACAACATTTTTTTGCTGGAATTTTATTTATTTATTCTTTTTTTTGCAATTGGGCTGCCCGGGTTTCATGCCTGGCTGGGCACCCAGGCGTCTATCCGGGCACAAGTTGGGTGCGCTGTTGCCTGGACAAACAGCCTCGGTCATTCATGGCCAGTCTTCTCAAAAGAGTAGTCGTCCAATACAGCACTCTGCATTCGCAGGCCGCCAGACCCTTTTTTTCATTGGACAGTTCCTCGAATCAGGTGTGCCCTCCTTGAGAAAAGAGCAGGGGCCATGCTACTTAATCTTCTCTGTATCATTCCAATTTTAAGGGAGGCCATGCTGTTCCCAAGGATAGGCAGACTGTTTCTCTCTTTGAATGAAAGAATGGCAAAGAGTCATGGGCACATGACCCAGGCAAGAGAGGCAGCCATACAGGCAGAGGATAAAGCCTGCTATTGAGCAAAGAGAGCGCATAAGCTTGCCAGCAGGAGTCAAGACAGATATGCAAACACAAGACACAATGGCAGACAGCCAGATAAGGTGAGAGGCAAATGAGGCAGAGGAAGGGGCATGCATCTGTCCGGGTAGCCAGCAAGATACAGGCAGGAGATTGGGTAGGAGCGTGAGTACCGGTCAGAACCAAGAATTCTTGCTCTTTGTTCCACCTCCTTCATGTTTATGGACTCCATAGGGGCAGCTGCTGCTGTTCGCGGCACTCCGGTGCCTGCCGCTGCAGCACCCAAATTGGCTCCTCCTCCAGCCTGACGTCTTTTTGCAAGCAGCCTCCCTGAATTGTACAGCAGGGCCTCCCAGTTAGCAAATGTAACTACCAACACCTAGAACAACCGAAGAAACCAGCCCCATAGGTCAAAGGGGGAGCAAGAGAGAGAGAGAGAGAGAGAGAGAGAGAGAGAGAGAGAGAGAGAGAGAGAGAGAGAGAGAGAGAGAGAGAGAGAGAGAGAGAGANGACATGCACCCACTCAAAATTCAGAGATATGGCTTCAGATACGAGTTCACTCTCAATTGGCTATGGCGACTTCAGCGCCCAAACAACTTACTGTTTACACACACTGGATCACCCTGGATATCCCACACGCATCACTCTGAACACTCAACACACGTACACACACTCTCTACTAACTACAGCTATGGCAGCTATGGCTGCCTCTAACCTATCGCTATACTAACTCCCTCTCCCTCTCGCCCACTGCAACCTCCGGGCTCATCTGCAGACCTCCTTGCACAAGTCGCTGTGGCAGCGCTTCCGCATGGCTCACGCAGGAATGAATGAATGGCTGGGCGCTGCCTCTTGATTTATACTTCAGAAACTCGTTGGTCTGCCCTTTGCCATCGGCCCATGGTGCTTACAGTCCCCCTGTGGTACTTGCTGGACCGAACTGGGACTGACTGGACCTTCTGCTGACTGACTGTGGACTCACCGCCATCCTACCCACGTTGTACTGCCGTTGCACTGCGGTTTAGTCCACCACTTGCCTCACCACTTGACCACTTGCCCACTTGCCTACCTTCTCGAAGGTCTACAGCTAGGCTTCCAGAACTCACTAAGACTTCTACGCTACAGATCTACAGATCGAACCCCTGCTGCCTATGGACCTACGACAGACCTACCAGCTGTCTACGAATACACAGGTCACAGGTTCAACTCCCGGGGTCCACACAGATACTGTACATGGGTAAGGTGAGGTCTAGGGATCGAACCCTGGGCACTGCATCCGCTACTGCTAAAGGTGAAAACCGTTTCACTCCCGCCGTCCTAAATTCGAGGTCCTCCGAGAACATCTCAGTCCAAGGCGGGACCTTTACCTTTCTTCTCACGTTCATAGGCTCTGACTTTGTCGGGAGCGGTCTCTAGAAGTTCTGTCTTTGTGAACCAGCGGTCGTCTTCCGGTTTCTGATAAGCAAACCGGACCTTATACTGTTTCTGGGGACGACCTCTACCTCCTGTCCTAAACACATCCTCTTTTACAATGCCCTCTATGTCATAGCTGCCATCCATATCCGGTGGAATCATGGATCTCCTGGAAGGGAACTGTTGACTAGTGACACATGGCAGCAGCTTTGAAGCATGAAACACAGGGTATGTGTGGAGGTGTGCTGGAATCTCAATGCTGTAGGACGGTCCATCCTCTCCGCCTTTAACTTCTAGAACCGGCCACGGTCCTCTATATGCGGGCAGTAACTTCTGTGAGATGTTTTCTTCCGGTGCAAATTCTTTTGCCTTGACCCAGACTAAGTCGCCTACTTGAAACTGTGATGGGCGACGGTGCTTGTTAGCCTGCTCTATCATTCTGTGCTGGGCCTTCCGAAGGTTCTCAACAACAGTGGCTAATTCATTTTCATGCTGTATCGCAAACTCCCTGGCACCGGGCGGTAATCTGCGAATCTGATCCCGGTTCAGTCCTTCGAACGGTCTGCGCGGTCTAAAGGACTTGTGCAGTTCATTGGGAGTGCGGCAGGTGGATAGGTGCACGCTGTTGTTGTATGCACTAGCGACCTTGGGCAACATCTCATCCCAGTTGATTTGATCTGGTCTAATATACATGCGCAGAACTTGCTGTAGGATCTTGTTCATCTGTTCTGTCTGACCGTTAGTCTCTGGGTGACGGCCGGACGACATTAACAACTTAGATCCGTAGATTCTCATGAGTTCTTGCCAGTTCTGGCTGGTGAAACGAGTATCTCTATCACTAACTATTGACAATGGGATACCATTCTCACTAACCTAGAAGTCAAAGAACTTCTGTATTACTAAATCTGTACGTGCCTCTGCAGGCAAGGGAACAAAAACTGCAGACTTACTAAAACGGTCGACTATGACATGAACTCTACGGGTCTATAGCCATTGCGGTCATCTTGTTGCAACACGGCGCCTATCCCATACTGACTCGTGTCCGTGGTGACGACAAATGGCAAGGACGGATCTGCAACCTTGAGGACAGGATACTCTATTAACGTGCGCTTTAACTTCTTGAGCGCCGACGTACAGTCTTTATCCCATTGCCAGATTGTCTCTTTCTTCAACAACCTGCGCAAGGGAGCGGCGATAGTGGAGAAGTTCCTCACGAACCCTCTGTAGTAGTTAGCTAGGCCTAGGAACGACCGCAATTTTGTCAATGTGCGGGGCGTCGGCCAATCTCTAATCGCCGCTATCTTGCTGTCCTCTGGCTTGATGCCATCTCCGTCTAATACGCGGCCCAAGTACACGACTTGTGTCTTGGCCAACTCGCACTTCTTCGCGTTGATCTTGAAGTTAGCCTCTCTAAGCTTCCCCAAGACCTGCCTCAGATGACCCTGATGCTCCTGAAGGGTCTTGCTAAAAACTATGATGTCATCTAGATAAACTACTACGAACTTATCTAACCATGGTCTGAACAGGTCATTCATACAACGCTGGAAGGTAGTTGGCGCGTTGGCTAGTCCAAAGGGCATCACTATGAACTCATAGTGCCCGTATCTAGTCCGGAACGCAGTCTTGTACTGATCATCAGAATGAACCTCTAACTGATGGTATCCGGACTTTAAGTCTATCTTAGAGAAATACTTACAACCCTGCACCCGATCTAGAAGATCGTCTATTCTGGGCAGCGGCTCAGCATTCTTCACTGTGATCGCATTCAACCCTCTATAGTCTATACACATACGAAGTTCTCCTTCCTTCTTGGGGACAAACAAAACTGGTGCTCCAAAAGGAGACGAACTGGGCCTGATCCAACCCTTCTCAAGGAGTTCGTCTAACTGTTTGCGAAGCTCCTCTAACTCTTTAGGGGACATCCTGTAGACCGCACCCTTAGGAGTTCTACTGCCAGGCTCTATCTCTATCCTGTGCTGGATGAGTCGCCACACTACTCCTGTCGGCGACTCAGTCAAATCTTTGAACTCTTCCGGCAGCTTGGCAATTGTTGGATCTGTGGAACTATCCTTTTCCTGGCCCTCAGTGACAGGTCTAACACACACCACAAAGACCTGTTCCTCTAACTGCTCCTTTCTTACTAATCGCGCGAACGCGGGAGCACTGAGACAGCAATGCACCAAGGTGTTATCTACACCGGACGCATGGAACAGGCGAGCAGTCTTCACTTCGCCTGACGGACTAGGGAGCCTACACTCGTGCTCTCTCAGATGGAGTGTGGCCCCTGCTGCCTCTCCCCAATCCATTCCTAACACTACATCGAAAGGAAGGTCATCTTGTACGAGGAGAGTCAGGGAATGGAGAACTTTCTCCACCTTCCCATCCTTCTTTAGGCGAAAGTACGCCTGGATTCCCTCTACATAGTCCTCAACACGCATCGTGCGGTTGTCTGCGAGAACACTGACTATACGGTCTATTAACTTCTGGACCTTTAGTCCTAGCCTCAGCTTCTTCAGCGCCCTATGGCTGATATAACTACGGGTAGCCCCTGAGTCTATAAGGGCCCCTACCCTACTCCTAAACACCTCTACATCTACCAAAATCAGTTGTCCTTTACTCTCCTTCTTCATTTTGGCCCAGGATGGCATCCTCTCCTTTAATTCTTTTGCCACACCTGTGAGGGACGTGCCTAAAGAGACGCTTACACAGGCGGTCTCTGGACAACTATCTAGGCACGGGCCTGCAACCTCTGCCATAGGCTCATGTGGGTTGGGAGTGTCCTGTTCGCGCGCGCTCACTTCTCCACATGGCCTTAAAGTAGGGGCAGTTGCAACCCCTACTGGCGGCTGCCTTTTGACTGTTGAGCAGCCCAACGGGCCTGTCCATACTTTGGACAAAATTTGATAACGTGCGCCGGGTCACCACAGAATACGCATTGACCCATGCTCGCGCGTTCCTGCCATAATTGTCGGTCCAAGCCCAAGTCTTCCCAGGGCCTGCCTTGCGGCAAGCCTGGATGCCATCCTCCTTGAGGTGCCCTTCCACCTCCTCG